ACAGACTGAATTATGCTCTCGCGAAGTTAGAGACCTCGGCGATATTTACAAATCTGTGATTACGCCCACTTTGAGCCTTATTTTCGGCTAATTCCGCTGTTCTAGCCGACCTAACTCGGTTATTTCTTTAGAACTCCATTTTTTCTATCGATCGAGTACAAGAAACTGCCCATTCAGATTTCAACTACCCAATAATGTGGTCAGAAATTTGCAATTTGGCCAATTTCACGAAAATTAAAAAATGACAATTTCAAAATAAGGTTCAGAATGAACAATGCAGACATTCCTGGCTCTAAAATAACATTTTCTTTGTTCATCAGTCATGTTTCCAGGCCCCTCTGATATTACTCTTGCTTTCTATTTTGAGTTTTTATTCCAGATACATGATTATATACACCTGGAAAATCCTAGAGGGACTAGTACCGAACTTGCACACGAAAATCACTCACTACGAAAGCAAAAGACTTGGCAGACGATGCACCATCCCCCCAATGAAAAGCAGGGGTGTCACTAGCACGTTAAGAGACCATACAATAAGTGTCAGGGGCCCGAGACTGTTCAACTGCCTCCCAGCACACATAAGGGGGATTACCAACAGACCCCTGGCAGTCTTCAAGCTGGCACTGGACAAGCACCTAAAGTCAGTTCCTGATCAGCCGGGCTGTGGCTCGTACGTTGGTTTGCGTGCAGCCAGCAGCAACAGCCTGGTTGATCAGGCGCTGATCCACCAGGAGGCCTGGTCACAGACCGGGCCGCGGGGGCATTGACCCCCGAAACTCTCTCCAGGTAACTCCAGGTAAACAAAAAATAGAAGACTTGCTATTATGCAGACTACTGCAATACTGTAATAATTGTATAAATAACATCAACCATTTATGACTGCATATTAGAATGGCTAGTTGGACATTTATTGCACAATGGCATCATTTGTTTACTTTTGAACATTGGCAAAAATCAAACATTTCCCCTACTTTGAGCTCCATTTCCAGGTTCTTTTTATAGTAAAATCAATCAAAATCACCTCTATTTCTGTTTTCCATTCTATCAAATGAGACAAAGAAAACGAGAGAATACATTCATAAATACTATACGAAAATAGACCACAAAGTCGGCATTTTAATTAAAAAAAAAAAAAAAAAAAAAAAAACTGAGGTTTTTTCTTATGCACTGCGTGCTCCAGGATTTTTTATATGGTGCACACAGACCACACAGACCCATTCTCTCACATGTGGGCCTACCAGCCTTCTCCTGCTTGATTTGAAGCTACTAGAATTTGAGAATATATACGTCAAACACGGTACCTCGTAAGACGTATATATACGGTCGCGACAGTCAAAGGGTTAATGGCACTCTGGCCTTGGTACCAGAACTACTCCAGATAAGTACGTTCTAAGCTCCTCTGTGCGGGTTGTGTATCTAACCAAAATTTCGAATCTTCCCAAGGTTTTAAGCTAAATACCCACACTAGGCATGGTGTTCCACTAGTCTACTACTTTCCAAGCTCTCGATTTCCTATATCCTTTCTAAATGCAAACTTAAACAAATTTGAACTTGTTTGTTCTTTCTTGGAAGGATGTTCTCAGGACCTTTCTCTCATCTTGTTAACTCCCATCTTCCACTTGTACACTTAAATAATTTCCCCTCATTCTTCGTCTTGATGTAATTTACGGGATATAGATTTTTAACTCTAACCTACCACCATTTATGTACTTATTCATCCCATTTTTTTTTTTTTAATAATCGCCCAAGGTTTTTGCTGGAGTACTGGGCATCGTATTCCACTCGTTCAGCTATTACCACTACCACAATCGACCATCTCCAGTCAAGCAAGAAGAAATCATGAATATTGAAGTGGGCGACTAATCAAAGCTAGTGAAAGATGACATAAATTATCAGATAGGTTGTCTGATTGATTGTGGATAAGCAGATGAAGGGACATGGTACCTGTAAGGAATATCTGTGAGTGAAAGACAAATTTGCAGTGCTTTCATGCACCATTGACCCCCCTAAAGCAGTGAAGCTACTGATAATTTTTGTAGCTTGTAGAGTGGTTTGAGGGTTTCAGTTAAAGGGCCGATATTAAAAGTTGATACATGCAGCTCCTAGGGCTGGTAATAAGTTTCAGCTTTACAGCTCGAGTTTAAAGAGCTTGTTACAGCTGACAGTTCTTAATGTAGATGACTGTTCTTGTGAAAGAATGCCTAGGCCAACATCCTCCACAAAGGAGGCTGCCATCTTGCCTGGCCATATACCTGTGAAAGATAGGATTACTCAACTGTTGGGTGCCAATGTCTCTGGAGATTGCAAGGTGAAGCCTATGCTTGTTTACCAGTCAGAAAATACCAGTGTAAATAATGGAGGGGCAGGTTGGGCATATTCTGGCATTGCAACAAAGCTGGGGTGACGAGACAATTCTAAAGTGAATGGGGCCCCAGGAGTGGTGTTGTCCATTAGTCAAGAGCCACCTGCAGATAAACATGCTTACTCATCAGGCACTGTTACTGTTGGATAATGCACCAAGACATGATCCTGAACTTGCCAAATTTCCCAAGGCAGAATGTTGAATTCCTCCAACTACCACTGCTGCAGCCTATGGACAAGCAGGCAATTGTGAATTTGAAGATTTACACAGATGTTTGGCAAGTGCTTGGTGCATTTCGGGAGATGGTGCCATCGGCCTCGAGGAATTCTGGAAGACTTAGTTTAAGATCTTGCTTTGTGGGGCTGTGAATTCCTGAAATGAGGTTTCCACATGGTACCTCAATGCAGCGTGGAAGAACTTGTGGCCTTCAGTCACATATTACTTAGAAGGATTTGAGGCTGAGGGATATGGAAGTAATTCTGGATCATAGTTGATGGAAGAGCTCCAGCAATTAGGAGAGATTGTGTACTTAATGGGGAGGAGTGAAGAGAATCTTAAAACACGTGTTGGCAAACTGAATCTTCATCTTATTAAAGAGCCTCGGGGACAAATGGTAAACGCCAGTCTTTCAAATCTGTGGTGCAGTGCAAGTTGCACTTGAAGGTTCTTGGCTCCAGTTACCATAAATCAAAATATTGTGGTGTTTTGGGTTATTATAACTCTAGGGACCAGTGTGTAAAATGTTGTATTTTTGTCTTTCATTTAAGGCAAGCTTAAACCTACTGCATAACCAGTAGCTTTCAATGTGGTTTTGTGCTAACAGTGAGTGGTGTGAAAATTTCAGCAGTTAAGGTTGGTTACTCTTCAGTTAAGCACATCACTTTACCCATGTCTGGTTTTACTGAGAAATTAAACACTAATAAATTTTAATTTCTATTCTAACCTTCAATTTTAGAGGTTGAGATTGAAGGCGTGGAAAGTGTTGGTAATCTGGGACCTGTGGATATAGACAGAGTATTTCTACTAAACTTGCCAGACATCCCAGCCATCTACAAAGTAAGTTTATGTATCTAGACCAGTTTATACAAATAAGTATGCAGACCAAAAAAAAATTGCACAGAACTTAAATTTTGATAGGGATGGAAAATCATTAGTTAAAATGCATTTTTTTGCAGTCTCCACACCCATCCCTGACCCCTAAGTTCCAACAGGCACCTCAGGTGCTTTTAAGAATTGCTAATTGAATGTGGTTAACTGATGCTGCCTTCTAAAAAGGGGTTTGGGATATTTGTTTAAAGGGATTTGTAAACTAATCTGTGCAACTCTAGCAAAATGGTAAGTGATGGTGAGTTTCTTCTGGGTCCCTATGCCTTGGTGGGAGATGACCAGCATATTAAAGTAAACCTGTTGCTGGTTATTTTTACATGGTATGATAGTTTTTATTACTTATTAAAATATTTTTCATAGGTCATTCAGCACCCAGCCGTATGTGGTCCAAGTGCACTGTGAATATTGAAATTTCTACTAGTCTCAGTTACTCTTGAACACCCCACTTGATAGTGTGTGGGGGGGGGGGGGAGAGGTTGGTTAAAAAAAATACTTAATGCTTAATTGAACTTTCAGAGTGGTAATGGGCTGAGCTACATTGAAGTGAATGGATCGTTGGTAGTGTTGAAGATTCGTAATAGGTGGACTAGCAGCTCTACTGGCTGTGAATGTAATGAGGGGACAAACTCTATGGTGAGTGTCTTGAGCTATTTAGCATTTTATTAATATTGATTATTTGCATTACTATGATGAAATTGCCTACTCGTAAAATTCGTTAGGAAGTTTAGCTTGCAAGCAGCCAACCACGAGGCCTCGTCACAGACCAGGCCACGGGGGCATTGATCCCCGAAACCCTCTCAAAGTATACAGTGTATACAGTACGACTGGAACTGCTACAGGGAAATTTGATAGTTATTACTAACACGTGTAGATAGGGCCTGCACACCTGGCTATGAGATTACCACTTGGGAATAAGCAAAAGACAGCAGAAAATAACTAAGTTTCCATTTCACAGCTGGTATTTACAGTATGTATTATAGCCTATGTACAGTATTTACAATGTACATTGAGGCAGATAGAAAGATGAACAACCAGCAGGGCAGGCAAGTCTGCCAGTTTTGTATCACGTGGCCTTGCAACTTTGGCAGGCTTCCTCGTGATTGGCTGGTTGAACAGATTGGCATAACACTGGAACCCCTTTGATCATTGAACCCTTATTGCCTGGTTCACTGGTTGGGAGGCATGCCTGTATGGGTGTGACACTCCTCATAACATGCAACATACTCTTAGCATACCACTTTGGTTTTGATTTTTATTGTGGAATTATCTTTTGCAATAAATCTCTACTTTGTTAGCAGGTTTCACTAATTTTCTCAAGTCCTTTTTTAAATTTGAATAGAACAGTAGTTTGACACCTTTAGAAGTGTTTGAGTAATATTACAATGGAACCTCTGTTTACGTTTGCCCTTGTTTTCGTCTAATTCTGTCTTCGGCAGACTCTGCAACAAATTGACAGGTGTTCCACAGTACTGGGTACCTGAAGTGTCCTTTTCATGGGTTTCATTCAACTAGCGTTTGTCATTGTGTACAGGAGTGTGCATGTTGCATGCCTGGAGGCTGCTTGTGCAGAAGATCTGAAGGTTACACTGGAGACACCTGTGTTGCTTGTGGCTTTCAGAGCACTACCTGTCAAGACTCTGGTAAGTACCTTGTTTCTTGTGTTGTAAATTTTGAGTTTTGCCTTGTATGCATAGAATCAGATTGTGATCCAATCTGTTAAATATTTAACAAAAAAAAAGGCACAATACCGTGACAGGAACGATGCACAAATAACCCGCACATGACAAGCTTACGATGACGTTTCGGTCCGACTTGGACCATTTACCAAGTCGTATATAGCCTATATATAGCCGTCCTGCTCCACTTCTGGTCAGTGAGACTTTGTAAATGGTCCAGGTTGGACCGAAACGTCGTCGTAAGCTTCTCTTTTATGTGCGGGTTATTTGTGTACAGTTAAATATTTCATCTGCATATGGATACCTTCTTTCAGTATCTCTCCCTGTGACAGATAAATAAAATGCACCATGCCACTGTTTAATATTTGGTGGTGTTTAGCTTGCCATAAGCTTGTGAAATTTTGCTATGCACATGCAATACATGTATTAAAAATGAGGTAATGTGAGGTAGGGTTGCATGCAGGTACATTGCATTACTGTACTTAAATGCTGGAGTGAAGACAAAAGACAAATAAAATAAGGCACACTTAAATCGTACCTATTAAGTGGTATACTGCCATAAGTTTTGGTAACTTGCTGGTTTTTTTTTTTTTTTTTTTTTTTTTTTAATTTTCACTTTGGTAGGAAATTTAGAGCAATGGCATCTTTAATATTTCTGGTACTACTGTATTAGAATAATCTAAAGTGTCATTTGCTTGTCCAAATTGTGTAATTTGCTATTTATACATTAATTTTGAGTTAGATAAATTTTCTCTCGTGCTGTAACTCCACAAGAGGGGAAAGGGAAGGAAATACAAAGGAAGCATTAGTCAGCCAACGATTGAGGTTTGTCAACTAATCTCTTCTCCTTTACACGAAAAATACCAGCCTCGTGATATATTTGAAATGCTGTGACTTCACATGTGAATATGGGCACAAGTAGTGTGGGTTAGAATCCTTTACAGAAGCGGACATGTTATTCTTTATATTTCATCTTCCAATGTGTAAATGCTTGTCACATTCATTCTGGGTCCTGCTACATATTATCTTATTAGTTCATATCCTGAACTGTTTATGTACAATGTACATTTGACTTATAAAAAGTTCCTGCTTTGCAAAACAATTTGAATGTTAACATTACAAAATGGGGAAACTTGCTAAATTTTCACCTGTAATACTGAGTTATTCCTCAGTGTTAATTGCTTCATTAACCAACTGCAATGGAGACTTTAGTGTGACTGCATGAACTAGTTCCTGATTTTTAATTTTTGTCTAGTATATTTATTGGTATAGTATATTTATTGGTATATATATATATTTTGTAGGCAAAAAATGTTATCTATGGAGGCAGAGGGAATGTATGGAAGTGTAGTAGTACCAACACTTGTATGGGTGTGAAGCTTGGGTTGTAAATGGTGCAGTGAGGAGGGGGTTGGAGGCCGTGGAGATGTCCTGTCTAAGGACAATGTGTGATGTAAATATTGTGCAGAAAATTTGCAGTGTGGAAATTAGAAGGTGTAGTTGATAAAAGTATTAGAGGGCTGAAGAGGATTTGTTGAGGTGGTTTGGCCATTTAGAGAGAATGGATCAAAGTACAATGACATGGAGAGCGTATAAATCTGTAGGGGAAGGAAGGGGGGGTAGGGGTCGTCCTCGAAAAGGTTCGAGGGAGGGGGTAAAGGTGTTGTGGGTGAGGAGTTTGGACTTCCAGCAAGTGTGTGTGAGCGTGTTAGATAGGAGTGAATGGAGACGAATGGTATTTGGGACCTGACAAGCTGTTAGTGTGAGCAGGACAATATTTAGTGAAGTGATTCAGGGAAACCGGTTATTTTATATTACCAGGATTTGAGTCCTGGAAATGAAGTACAATTCCTGCACTTTAACCCTTAAATGGTCCAAACTTATATATGTTTTTTCAACATCTGAAAGTATGTAAAAAAATGTAATCTTTTTTTTTCTTTTTTTACATATGAAAATGTGTAAAAAAAAAAAAAGTAATCTACTTTTGTAGCACTACGAATTTGAACGTCTATCTGTTAGGACCGTTTAAGGGTTAAAGGAGAGGTTTGAGATATTGGCAGCTTGGAGGGATATATTGTATATTTTTATATGTATATTACTTCTAAACTGTTGTATTCTGGGCACCTCTGCAAAAAGTGATTGTGTGAGGTGAACGTGTTGATTGATGATGAAAGTATTTTCTTTTTTTGGGGGGATTTTCTTTTTGGGTCACCCTGCCTCGGTGGGAGATGGCCGACTTGTTGGAAAAAGTGAAAATAGGAACACAGTACTAATAATACTGCATAATGTGTACAGGTAGGAGAGTGGTGGTGGATGCTGCTACAGGATTTACCTACAGTGTGAGACATGGTGGTTGGCAGAGGGTTGTAGTCATTGCACAAGGCAGCACAATAACTTTCTACAAGGTTGTAAGTATTCATTTCTGGCTGTTTTCTGGCTACTTTGTTGTCCTTTAATTAAGGTAACTGATAGGAAAGATTTTAGGCCTTCATTTTTTTGTGCAAACTTGTTAACCAGGCTGAACTTGATTCATATTGATACAAAAGTTCTTTAGGAAACATTTAACACGTTTCATCTAATTTGATAAATGAAAGAATCTAACCTTTATCAACATTTCTATCTACTGTAAAGCTTTACTTAAACAGGTGGACCATGAACTGTCAGAAATAAGCAGCCTGAGTGCAGGACAGACAGTGACTGACTTAGGATATGGTGTGACTTTTGCTGACCATGAAGGGATTATACAGAAGACAATGTTCCTTATTGTTTTCTCTGCTGCACAAACTCTACAAACTTTCTACAAAATAAGTGTTGGTGCACAATCTTCAGCTTTTGCTGTTGGGTTAGTAGGAATAATTTCCACGAGATGCATGTACTTGTACATCTCTTGTCCTCTAGCTAGCTGGAGATTCGTCTGTAAAAACTTGCATTTGTGGTCAGAGGTGCCTGTGCTAACCTTCCTATGGTGTAGAAATATACATAGTTGGATGAATCTTATTGTGGCTAGCTGGTCTAGTGGCTAACGCGACAGGCTGGAGTTTTGAGACTCTATGACCGCGGGTTCAATCCTGGCCGGGGGTATGGTTTCTCTAGAATAAGGCAGTACTAACACGTGCACATGCGCACATACACACTGTATATAGAAACTTAGTATTTGCTCCAACTTAGACAATCAATTAGTCAAGGTCAAAGTCTGGCAAACATAAGTTTCTCTGTGGGGGTTTTGTGTGTTTTGCCCTAGTTTAGCTTAATATATCAACTTTAAAACTGGGAATGCTGATGTATATGAATTTCCACAGCATACCCAGAGAATGGCATGCAGAAGGTTCTGTTATGAAAGTGATGCAGAGTGGTGGCAGAGTTGTAATAACAGTACACGAGTCTCCTAACCTCCACATTTATGAATTGAAGGTAATGACATTTTTAATTGGCAGTATGCACTGATGGCCATTAAATGGCATAAATTACAAATAGGTATAGAACATTAACCTCTAAAGAGAAATTTGAATTTTAAAAATGGTGGTAGAATATCTGTACATGTATTTGTAATCTACCACTCTTTACCTGTTTAGACTTGACCTAATACTTGCACTACTTAAGTCTGCCCAAGATGCCTCGGCATGAGAGGTTTTCTTAGCACCAGTCATATTATGAAATGTAAATGCGTAAGCTTTGCAAATAGTTTAGTTTATTATAATTGCAGGAAGATTTCTGGATGAAATTCCAAATCCAGAAAGTACAGACACTGGCTGCTACTTTCAACTCTTGGATAATGTTCAGCACAGGGTTTGAAAGTTACATAGCAACTGTAGCTACCGACAAAATAACAATATTTGTCCAGAGTGGCGTCCAGTACGAAGTTATGCAAGTTCTGTCAACAAGCAATGGTTTGGAGAGTTTTGATGGACTCCTGGCAGTGCATGTAAGTAGCAGATACTCGATATTTAATGAAACGGCTAGTTTCTGACCTAAACTATACCAACACTATTATTCCTGAAGTCACAGAACTGGTTTGAAACTAATAGAAATATCCCAATTAAGATCACTAAGTAAATTTTAAGTATTAATATACACAAAATTTTACTGTTGTAAATTGTAATACTTTGATGTTGTATGACAATTTTTTCCAATTCTTGGAATATATAATTAAAATTTACCGAGTAACCCAGGTCTACTTTTAATGTCTATTGTAGTCATTAAAATCTGCCCAAAATACTGGTGCACGTTAGTTGCTTTTTGTGATTTACAGAATTTTTACGTGTAAACTACTTTGTAAACTATGCATAGAAAGTTTAATAATTTTGACCTCTTCCCTTTAGGTGAAATCATGCAGAGAGGAAGTGGTATTGATGACTGGATTTGGTAAACACTTGGTGGGCATGGTTTTTGATCCACAATCTTCCTCTCCAGGATTTAAAGTGGTAAATATTTAAAAAATAAAAAACACTTCATCTCCCACCAAAGCAGGTTGACTCAAAGAAGACATTCGCCATCATTCATACATAATCTGTCTTGGCAGAGGCACTCTGTTACAACGGTTTAAAAGTCCCTCCAAACTGCTAGTATACCAAAGTCCTTTAACCCTTTGACTATTTCGGTAGTATATGTACGTCTTACGAGCCAATGTTTGACGCATGTATACTCAAATTCTAGCGGCTTCAAATAAAGCAGGGGGGAAAGCTGGTAGGCCCACATGTGAGAGAATGGGTCTGTGTGGTCAGTGTGTACTGTAAAAAAAAAAAATCCTGCAGTGCACAATGAGAAAATTCAGACCGTGTTTTTGGATTGAAACTCCGACTTGGAGGTGTATTTTTGTGTAGTTTTCATGGTTATATTCTCATTTTCGTAGTCTCGTTTGATAGAATGTAGAACATGCTATAGAAAGAGGTGATTTGATTGGTTTTACTATGAAAAGGACCTTGAAATGGAGCTCAAAGTAGGGGAAATGTTTGATTTTTGCCGATGTTCAAGAGTAAACAAATGTCATTGTCCAATGAATGTCCAACTAGCCACTCTGATATGCAGTCATGAATGGGTTGATAATTAGAAAATTATTACAATATTGCAGTAGTCCGCATAGCGGTAAATCTTAAATTTTTTGTGTGAATAAAAATGCAAAATTGAAAGCAAGAGGGGCCTGGAGACGACTGATGAAAGAAAGTGGTTTGAGCCAGGAATGTGTGTTTTTCATTCTGGACCCTATTTTGAAATTGGCATACATTTTAATTTGCACAAAATTGGCCAAATTGCCAACTTATGACCACTTTATTGGGTAGTCTGAATTGGTGAATGGGCACTTTCTTGTACTCGTTCGATAGAACAAATGGAGTTTTAAAGAAACTTTGGTAGACTGGAATAATGGAATTAGCCAAAAATAGGGCTCAAAGTGGGCGAAATTGCCAATTCGTAAATATCGGTGGTCACTAACTTCGCGAGAGCATTATACCGTAAGTTTTCTATCAAATTTCGTACTCTTGGTGTCATTACCATTGGGGGAAGATTGTATCATTTCATAAATTTTTTTATCAAATATTTTGACACCTCAGTATTTGAGGTTGCGACAATCAAAGGGTTAAAATGCAGGCATTGTACTTCCCATTTCCACATCTCTAGTCCAGCTAACAGGCTTCTCAGAATCCCCTCACAAAATATTACCCTGCTAACACACTTGCTCTCAAAATCCATTAGTCTCCATTCACTCCTATCTAACAGGCTCACACATGGCTGTTGAATGTCCACGCCCCTTGTGCATGCAACCTTTTACCCCCTCCCTCCATCCTTTCCTAGGATGACTCTTACCCTCCCTTCCCCTCGACAACAATCGAGTCATTTTTTTTTTTACTCTATCCTCTAAATGACCAGACCACCTCAACAGCCCCTCTTCAGCCCTCTTGCTAATACTTTTAGTAACTCCACCCCTCCTAATTTCCACTACAAATTCTCTGCACAATACTTGGACCACACATTGCCCTTAGACCTGACATCACTGCCTCCAGCCTCCTCTCTGCAGCATTTACAGCCCAAGCTTCACTCCCATATACGTGTGTTGGTACTATGTACTTTACTCTCGTGCATTCCCTTCTTTGCCTCCATGGAGGTTTCTCTTGTCTACACTTCAATGCACCACTTCTTTCCTTCATCAATTGTACGGTTAACCTTGTCCTTCATAAACCCATCTGCTGACAAATATACTCCCAAATATCTGAAAAAGTTTGTTTAAATAACTGGTATAAATAGAAGTGTTGGATATCTTGCTAAAATTTTAATGCCTTTCAGGCACTAAAAGGCAGCCTAAGTGTAGACGTAACTAGCTGGAAAAATGGATTTGCCTACATTGATTCTTCTAATAACCTTGCTGCGGTAAGATATTCATTTTAACATATGAAAAAATAAGGCTACTGATTTTTGTTTCCTTGCTTAAAATAGTTTAGAAGTAGGATTTATTTAAAAACATCTTTGGTTAATGAAAATGGCAGTGACTGAACTATTTTTTAAATTTTAGCAATCTTTGATGAAAGTACGGTAAGAAATCTTGTTTAACCCTTACTGTCCAAACTTAGATCTGTCCACTTGCGGGCGGGGCTCCGAACGTAGATCCATTTTTTTTTATCCTTTCAAATGGGGGGGGGGGGGAATAGATTGGAGTGCTATGCACGCGAACATGGATCTACGTTTGAACAGTTTAAGGGTTAAATGAATATCACTGAATTGGCTTAAGTATTAATGCTTACTTAAAATTTTGAACTTGCTCATTTAACTACTTTTTTTTTTGAAAAACTTGCTTAACTTGGGTCTAGTTCTTTAGTCTTTAATCATTAGGATTAGTTTGTCCAAAATATATGGCATGTTAATTGCTTTTATGCCTAAAAAAATCCCCCCCCCCCCACCACTGAGGCAAGGGTAAACTAAATATTTTTAAGTTGGTATAATATAGAAGGGGTTAGTAGCACTTTGCTTCCCTGCATTTTAGTCTTAAAATTCGTGTCTTATGGAGGGAGAATTCCGTTTTGCTTCCTCATGGAGATAAAAAAAAAAAACTTGTACTCGTGTGGGTGGTATTCTTGCAGGTAATCTTGCCCACCAGCAGTGGAGCTGAAAAGTTTATTGTTCAAGCGCATCTAGTGGAAGTGAAAGATCCGGTGGAATTGCAGACCCAGGGGATTATAAAGGCTGTTGATGACATAAAGGTAGGAATAATTTTCCTATATTAAACTGATGTGATGTTGATCACATGCATCCAGAAAAGTTAAATTTGCTAAATTAGCTTTTTAAATTTTCGTAGTTGTGAAAATGGTTGGTTTGAGGTTCTTTCAAGAAAAATTAAATTTCTCGAGTAAATAGTTGGTCCAAGAGCACAATTTACCTTGTTGCTTTGCTTTATTTCTACTAAATATAATATTGCTGGTATTTGAAGTACACCTTGTCTAAAATTAGTAAAATACACAGGACCATGATGGGAACAAGACACAAATAACACCCCCCCCCCACATAAGAGAGGAACTTAAGACAATGTTTTGGTCAGACTTCGCCATTTAGTCATAGTAGTCGTAAGTTCCTCTCCTCTGTGCAGGTTGTGTATTACCAATTTCATTAAAAATTCTATTAGCACCACTAAATTGCCTACAAATTTTCATGCATTAACAAACATTCTTGCTCTTTTAGGATGAATATAACCGTCAAAAGGATATAATTACAGCTGCAGAAAACCTTCTGTACTATAGTGTAGCGTCGCACAGCGACATCCATGCTAATGTAACTATCACTAGAGGAGTCTTCGTGAATAAGGTTTGTCCTTCATTAGTTGTGTAACCCACTAAAAATCTTTTACTGGGGAAGGGCTGCCCTTCACCAGGCTAAAATGTGGGCATAGTATTTCCTTGTATAAACAAAAGATGGTTCTAATGATATAAGTAAAATAATTTGCTGATTGGAGAACTTGTAACTGTTGTACCAAAAGTGGCTATTATTCATTCTTGGGGCAGTAGGTTAGAATCTTGTTAAAATCTTCATAAAAATAGAAACCTAAATGTATCCTGCAGACATTATCTACGGGAGAGCTGGAGGCTACGCAGCTGGTGTTCCCTGGTACTGTATTGGCTGGTGGAGTGTCTCTGCAACAGTACCTAGTGTATCTTGAACATTTGGGTTCACCAGATGCTGTACTAGATGGTACTCTAGATGAAATCTCCTACATTGAATCTGTGCTAAATGGTCAGTTAACATGGTTGGTGCTAGATTGTCGCTCTTGCTATTAGTGTAATCTGAGAGCTATTTTACCCCATCCTGCCTGCTCTTAAAATTTCCCATTATGAGACCTGGAAACATAAAGCATACCTGACTATGACCACACCTCCCTATACATAAAACCATTCAGTGTATTTGCTAGAATACTTGAATCTTTAAGGCTTATACTTCAAGTTATGGGAAATTTTTCATGGGACATTGTTCAGAGCCCCAAACAATATTGCAGTGTCTGTACACTCCCTATGTTTTACTTTTTTTTTTTTTTTTTTTTTTTTTTTTTTTTTTTGCCACTTAACTAAAGGTTCCCTTCCCTTTACCACCTCTGATAGTCATTTGCTAAGTTACTGTGTAAGGGGATGGGATGAGGAATGGTCTTAGTATGATCTAATACATAGGCTTTATTACGATGGGTGGTAAAATCTTCAAAAAAAAAAAAAAAAAAAAAAAAAATAATAATAACTTAAACTATAATTTGCATACGTCCTTGTGCCTCCTCACTTTACATTAAACATTCGCTAAATTTTTGCCTAATTGCGCCTCGTAACATGCAGATGCTGTACCGGCTTCTGGCATAATTGGAACCATAGGTGGCCTAAAGACGATTGCTTCAGATCTTGACCTTAGAACTCTAGTGGCCAAGTCTGCTATAATTGATAGAGGGCAGGATGCAACTGGCATACATCTGATGAATACATTGTCTTCACTTGTGAAGTGAGTAATCTTCATTTTTCTGAAAGTTAGACATTTGAAATGCTAATTTTAATGTTGGTATTTGCTTAGTGGTTGTACATGTAAATTGTAGAGAGAATGCAGTTTGGAGGGATATGTTGTGTATCTTTATATGTATATGCTTCTAAACTGTTGTATTCTGAGCACCTCTGCAAAAAGTGATAATGTGCGAGTGTGATGAAAGTGTTGAATAAGTATTTTCATTTTGGGGATTTTTTTTTTTTTTGGGGGGGGGGGGTCACCCTGCCTCGGTGGTAGACGGCCGACTTGTTGAAAAAAAAAAAAATGCTACTTCGTGTTAAATACGAACCAGTAAGTTGACTGTTTGGTAGTTATGTATTTTACTTTGCAAATGACATCAGATGTTAATGCTCTCAAATCTTTTTTAATGGGCCAATAAGCATAGTGCAGTTTAACTTTCTTTTCAGATTAAACTCTGGTTTGACGATTAGAGGCAGGAAGACTTTCAAAAACGGGGTGATTATAAATACTCTTTATACAGAGTTCCTAGACAATATTCCTGTGAATGACATTGTCACAGTTGGTGGAAAACAAACCATAGCTGGCTCAGCATTTGTCAATGATCTGGCAGCAGAAAACATATATATGCTAGATGGTGGCACTGTAGCAGGTCTTAATTTATCAGAGGCTGTGCTTCTGAATGAACCTGCTTCTCTTGGTAATTATTTCAATTAAAAATGTGTATTTTGCTACTCAATTTTGCCTCTCAGGATAAGTTTTAGGTTCATGGAATTATAACTAACCTTGTATACAATTCATTGCCTATTCACTGTAGAACATTAAATCCTCGTCTTACTTTCCCAGGTCACGTATCAATTGAGTCTGTTGCTGTGGAAGGGAACTTGGAGATAATGTCTGGTATAATTGATGGTGTAGACCTGAACTACCTGTACAAGAATGCCTTGCAGTTGTCTGGTGGCGAATTATCTGGTTCTTTAGCCTTCAGCAGCAACATTCTGGCAATAGATCGCCTTGAAGGAACACACATGATGGGTATCAATGTTAGGGACTTGGCATCTGATATTGTGTACAAGGATGAAGATGCAGTCTTGTTTGGCAAACTGATTGTCTCTCAGTCGGTAGTTGTGGAGAAGAATCTTTATGCAGGTGACATAAATTCTAAGGAATTTCCAGAGGATTATCCCTTAAAAACTGATAACTCCCTAGTCTTTACTGATCTGAAAAACTTTGCCAATATTGTTATTGATAATGTAAAGTTCAGTAGCCATGGAGTCGTAGATGGCATAGCTCCAGATCGCTTTGTTACCAAAACTTCAGATCAGGAAATTATTGGGGTAAAGATATTTGCCAAAGGTGTGAATATTGAAGGAGACTTGCTTATCACATCAAAGGTCATTGATGGAGTGAATTTAGATAAATTGTTTGCTACCAAAGCCAATGGATCAATGTCTGGAAATTGGGACTTCAATGTGATATTCAGGAAACCTGTTCAGATGACCGGAATTTTATATGATGGTACACTAAATGGAATGAATTTGTCAGCAGTTTCTGCAGACCTAGTATACACCTTCGAAGATCCTGTAATAATCACTGGGCACAAAAGGTTCCTCAGTGGCTTATCAGTCTCCCATGCAGAGTTGAGTGGCACCTTCAATGAGGTGGACATATCTTCCTTGGTGACAACTGACACTGAAGAAATTAATGGAGTCATAACATTCCAGGATATTATGTTCAATGAACTAATAGTAGATATTATTGATGGTGTAAATATAAGGCAGCTCTTAGATTCTGCACTCTTTCTGGACAAGCCAGATCAGGTAATTTATGGCAAAAAGGAGTTTCTTGGTGGCATTACTGCTGGCAGTCTCATTGTTGAAGGAAGAGTCAAGGGTGTAGACTTCAAAAATGTTGTGACAAAAAGTGGCTCTCAGACATTTGTTGCGCCTCAGACCATGTACAGCGCAGAGTTTTCGTCATTGTATGCTCACACGATAAAGATGTCTGATGGCTTCAGAGTGAATGGGGTAGACTTCTCTGAGCTGGCAAGTAAGCGTATATCTCTAACAGAGCCTGTTAATGTGACTGCTGCGTTGTCAGTCCTGGGACCAGTCACTGTGATTGGTACTTTGTCAGCCGATTATATCAATGGGTACAACATCAAATACTTAAGAGACAACTTGGTTACAAACAACGGTGACTCGATCATAGAAGGCCCAGTGACTTTTGAGTCACTCGCAGTAGAAGGGTCAATCACAACAGAGGGAGGTGTTGGAGCTAATGGATTAAGCTTGAGTGCCATTGCTGAAGCTGCTGCCAAACTCTCTGGTAACAACTTGTTCACTGGTGACCTTGTGTTCAATAGCATGGTCCTGCAAGGTGATCTGGGTGTGGAGGGACTGATAGATGGTGTGGATCTTGCTGTTCTCCAGCACAATGCTGTTTACACTGATTCCTCAGATCTTCAGGTTATTACAGGTGAGCAATGAAAAAAAATTAGTGGACAAAACTTTTGCTTAATCTTTAACCCCTGGGGAATCTACATAGTGCTTCAGGACATTTTGTTTGCATTTCTGGTTTAGACAAATATTTGAGATTACTGTTTAACCTTTTCCTAATTTTTTTTGAAGTGTGAAGTTTTGTATATAAAATATTTTCATAAATGCTTATATTTGGACATAATTGAAGTTAGTGTAATTTGGTGTATAGTCTTTGTTGTGTAAGGAAGTTGTCTACAAAAGTCACTTTGGCACAAGTATACAGAATAAATATTTTTAATGTTTTTATACCTCAGGCCTAAAAGTGTTTGAGGCTGGCTTCACTGTGAAAGGAGATATTAACACTAGTCTAACTAATGGAGTGGACTTATCTACAAGACTCTTCACCTTGCACACTGATCAGGTCATCACTGCACCATACACCTTCACTGACTTGGGTGCCGAGACGGTGCATTTACAAGGATTTTTCAACGACATGGATCTGAAGAGACTAGCAATGGGAGCATTGATGAGTGAGGATATTCTTAGTACAGGTAAGATTGTGTAATGGTGGCAGCGAGTTAAATATGCATACTCAAATTGTGGCATAGCAATGTAGGAGAGTGGTGGCCACCTATTTGCCCTTGCTTTATACATCTTCATTCCAACAATGTCAAACACTTTAAATGCATAGCCTACCATTGAATGTAATCTATTTTAATGTTTTAGCGATTGAATTGACTAGTTGCCATTGCTTTCAAAGTCTTGATATGCACAGAAAACCTGAGAGCTTATCATACCGACTTCAAAATCTGATATTGCCCCGATGTGGAAAATGCAGTCTTGGGTGTGTAATATCGATTACCGCCCTGACCTTGGAATAGTTATTTTATATTTTCTCTTTGGTACTAGATATAAAATTGTAATGTGGTAATTGGTAGTAACTTTGTATTAAATCTAAAATTTCTGACTTCAGGAAGTGTTACTTTCACAAATGGTGTTGAAATAAAGAACTTGGTAATAGAGAAGACATTGAATGACATTGACGTAAAAGAAAGATTGGGCGATGCTGTGAGGCTTGAGGAAAGTGGATTAGCCATCACCGGCACTAAGACTTTCACCACAAACACTCTTCTAAAAAATCTCCATGTTGATTATCTGAACGATGTTTACCTGGATGGGTTCTTGGCTAGACTAGTGAGCAGGGATGCTATCCACTCATTGTCTAGTGTAGTGACTGTTAATGGTGTGGTGTCTGCACCCTGGGTCAATGCTGAAAACCTAAAGATTGAGGTGAGTACCAGTCTTGAAGCAAACCCTTCCAGGCACACTACTTCTCAATGTTATGAATGCCTTAGATTAGAAGTTTTTCATAAAATGTGATTACCAATTCTCCTTGAGCATATTTACAATTATAATTGGTAATTTTTAGTAGTGACATTTTAATGGTTAATTTTACAGGGTACAATTGATGGGATAGACTACCAGGAGTTGAAAGCTAATGTGGTGTATCTCTCGGGAGAGCAAGACGTTAAAGCGAATTTGGTGAGTGAAGAAACTCTTGGCTCTGTTACCATCACGGGAAGCAAGCAATGACTTGTATAATTTAGACGCTGGCAGTTGATGTACTCAGGCATATTGTACCTTTGTCTTGGCAATGTTCACTGTCAGATTAGTAAAGATATTTTTCTTTGAAATTATCCTTCCAGTTTATACTAATTTTTTTCTCTTTAACCCCAAAGTAACAGTTAATTATTAAAGGAAATTTCTCAGGCTGCAAAATTGAAACTTTAATACTGAATGGATGTAGGAGACCTTGACCTAGACTTGCTCAGGTACTGTTTACAAAATTAGGATTAGTTATCCCAAAATAGAGTACTAGACTTTCTTGTGCCTAACAGTATTTTGTACCTATTTTTATATTAAAGAAAAATTTGCATTTAAGTGAAATTTGATAAGTATTTTAATGACTCCAGTTGGTATTTCTCTCGCACAAAGGTCATGTATTTGATCCCCAATACAGGTCGAAACGTTGAGCATTTCACCTCTAGAAATCTGCTGTCCGTTTACCTAGCAGTGAATAGGTAGCAGTGTTTGCAGAATGGTGTGAATCACATCCTGGGGTCAAAACAACCTAATTTGCCTAAAATGTTCTACATAACTAGGAGCTGTCAAATATGTCAATGATATCAGCTATGGTCAGAATTTTTATTATTAACACAGGCTGATTCCCACCAAGGCAGGGTGGCCCGAAAAAGAAACTTTCACCATCATTCACTCCATCACTCTTGGCAGAAGGATGTTTTACACTACAGTTTTTAAACTGCAACATTAACACTAACATTAACAGTTGTCGTGTAGAAATAATTATTTTGAAATGCTTGAATTTTCATAATTTACTTAAATTTTTTATGTAAAGTACAATGCTACCTTGAATGTCTTAATTTGTTCCAGAAGGCTGTTACTGCTGTTACTGAGTGTTCCCATAAGGAATATAAATTAGAATTCAGTTCCAATCCCCAAAAATACTTTAAGCACTTGCAAAAATAAACTTGCATTGTTCAAGTTGGGAGCTGTTAGAAATTGGAGGTACCACTGTACTTTGGTTAAAACTTAGTAATGAGGCTGTATACTTGCAGTGTTGAGGTTGTTCCAGTACACTGGAAAAATGTAAAGAACATTTAAATGTTAATGCTCAGGAAAGTTAAATTGCATTTACTATGCAGAAGGTTAATTAGGGTATTCAGATCCTGGCAGGGGAAAAAAAATATCAACCTTATCCAGCACAGGTAAGCCATGTTCACCTAAACTTTACTTACAGGTATTCCTGAGTGACTTGTATGTAAGAGGGAACATAGAAGCTATCATGTTGAATTCTTACAACCTGGCCGAAGACTACCTCACCACCAACACTGAACAGACAATAAATGTCACCACCACATGTGGTAATATCCAGGCCACTTACATTGATGTTGAAGGCACTGTTAACAACTACAATCTAACAAGAGAAAGAGAAATAACAATGTTGGTAGGTTTGCCTTGGTACAATTTTTAAGATCTTGGGTTATTATGGCTGCGTGTTTTTGGTACAAGTAGGCCTGGCTTACACGGCAGGTTATGTTCTGGACTATTACTGTAAAGCAAAAATCACTGTACAGTATATTCTAGCTCCCCCCCCCCCCCCACTTTAAAATGCATATGAAAAACCGTGTTGGAAAAAAAGTATCTAGGCCTAAAACATTGCAGGCAGTCTGAATAAATGAAGAAAGAGTATAATTGAAGAACCACTGTATTAGCCAAACACTGTTAAGCAAAGCGCTGTAAATTAGTACGCAGATACCATGTACAGAATCTGCATACTAATTTTTTTTTTTTTCCTTGCAAGAGGAGTACTGCCACTAGTTTGATAATGTGTACATTGTGGTAAAATTAATATTGGAGGATGCTTGTCTTAATAGGAGCAAACTCGGCCATTAAGATTAATTTTTGTACCCTGAAATTTAACTGATACTTGGATTGCTTACACATTAAAGGATAATTTCAAATGGGTAAAGTGATTCTTTAAAATTTGTTACCCGTTACCCATGTCTACTGCATTACTGAGAATTCAGGCAACTGTAAGACTTGGTGGCATTGATTCTAGATGTGGATTATACACTAAATAGGCTTTCGTTTTTCTTGAAGCTGATGTTAGTCATATCAGTAATGGAGGTATGTCTTGCCCTGTATAATTCACTGTTTATCCTGTTAAAAAGTAGTGTAGGATGTAGGTAGCTAATATATATATATAGACATGACCCACAGTAACAGTCCAAAAATAGAAGGCTCCTGACAAATCTGCTAAGTCTTCACCTGTAGTTGGAGAGGAAATTTATCTTTCCTGATGAATACATTGTCTGATTTTGTAGTCTCTGGTATTGACAGCCGTCCCTGAATTGAAATGTTAATATAGTAAGTATCAAGACTTGGCTCCCACGTTTTAATAGTTTAAAATTGAATTCCTGATTTTAACTTTTAAATGTGTAAAATGCCTCTCGATTCTCAGCTTTGTAATTTGATAAAATGAAAGTGAATTGCGCTTGTATTTGTTCCAGAGTGTGGGTGGGCAAGTAGTGTTGGGTACGACTACAATCTCTGGATCAGTGGTGGTGCTTAGCGACTTGCAATGTGACGGTCGTGTGGGCAGTGATGTTATGGTGAAGCTTGCTGATCAGGTGGTGCGCCTCACTGAAGATGTGGAGATTTCAGGTAAGTGTTTGTGTGTACAAGTACTTACTCTCCAAATTGTGGCTGCAGGGGTCGAGACTCGGGTCCTGGCCCCGCCTCTTCACTGATCGCTACTAGGTCCTCTCCCTCTCTGCTTCCTGAGCTTTCATACCTCTTCTTAAAACTGTGTGGTTCCTGCCTCCACTACACTTTCTAGGCTATTCCACTTCCTGACGACTGACTGAAGAAATGCTTCCTAACGTCCGTGACTCGTCCGTCTTCAGCTTCCAATTGTGACCCCTTTTGTGTCCCCTCTGGAACATCCTGTCTGTCCACCTTGTCTATTCCCTGCAGTATCTTGTATGTCATTATCATGTCTCCCCTGACCCTTCTGTCCTCCAGTGTCAGTCCGATTTCCCCTCAACGTTTCCTTTTACGACATTGCCCTGAGCTCTGGAACTAGCCTTGTTGCCAACCTTTGTACTTTCTCTTAAACTTCTTGACGTGCTTGACCAGGTGTGGGTTCCAGACTGGTGCTGCATACTACAGTATAGGCCTAACATTGTGTCTTGAACAATTCCTTATTAAAGTATCGGAATGCTATTCTCGGGTTTGCCAGGCACCCACATGCTGTAGCAGTTATTTGGTTGATGTGTGCCTCCGGTGACATGCTTGATGTTATGGTCACCCCAAGATCATTCTCAGAGTGAGGTCTGTAGTCTGTCCACCTAGCCTATACTGTCTGCGGTCTTTGCCCCCTCCCCACTCCATGACTTTGCATTTGGCAGGGTTGAATTCGAGAACCCAGTTTCTGGACCACGTGTCCAGCCTGTCCAGGTCTCTTTGCAGTCCTGCCTCATCCTCGTCCGATTTAATTCTTCTCATCAACTTCACATCATCTGCGAACAGGGATACTTCAGTCTATTCCTTCCATCATGTCGTTTGCATGTATCAAAAATAGCACTGGTCCTAGAACTGACCCCTGTGGGACCCTGATCGTCACAGGCGCCCACTGATACCTCTTGATGTATCATGACTTGTCGTTGCCTCCGTCAGGTATTTCCTGATCCATTGCAATGTCCTCCCTGTTATGTGCATGATCCTCCAGCTTCTGCACTAATCTCTTGAACTGTCAAAGGCCTTCCTGCAGTCCAGGAAAATGCAATCAACCCACCCCTCTCTCTAGTGTCTTATTTCTGTTACCTTGTCATAAAACTCCAGAAGGTTTGTGACAGGATTTGCCTTCCATGAACCCATGCTGGTTTTCATTTATAATCTTGTTCCGTTCCAGGGTGTGCGCGCATGCACACGCGCATGTGCGAGATCACCCCCCCCCCCTCCCCCTCAAGTTGCATAGTTTAATAGCTTTCCATTCTTCAAAACAGAATGACTGTATAAATCTGTAGTGGAGGGAAGGCGGGGTAGGGGTCGGCCTAGGAAAGGTTGGAGGGAGAGGGTAAAGGTTTTGTGTGCAAGGGGCTTGGACTTCCAGCAAGCATGCATGAGCATATTTGATAGTGAATGGAGACAAATGGTTTTTAATACTTGATGTGCTGTTGGAGTGTGAGCAAAATAGCATTTATGAAGGGGTTCAGGGAACTAGCAGGCTGGACAGTCGTGGAGATGGAAAGTAGTGTCTGCACTCTGAAGGAGGGGTGTTAATGTTGCAGTTTTATAACTGTAAAGCGCCCTTCTGGCAAGTGATGGTGAATGATGGTTTTTCTTTTTCGGGCCACCCTTCCTTGGTGGGAATCTGCTGATGTTAGTCTACACTAAAGACTTCCCATATTTGAAAATTTTTATTACCTTCTACATAAATTATTTCATCCTAGGTGGTGTCAAGTTCACGTCAATCTTGACTACAACCAGCCTGTCGAGCTCCACTAGTATGATAAACGATGTCAATCTACCAGACCTATATGATAATGCTTGGTATGTTGATACACCACTGACCATCAGTGCAAGATTAGTCTTCAATTCGCATACTACTATGAAGGCAAGTTTCTTGCTTACGTAGTAAAACCCAAGTTGACGTGGTCTTCATCCTCTACTCATTCTGAAAATAGTTTAGTACTTTATCAATGAATTACTTTATTAATGGTTCATGATTGGAGAATGCAACCCATATTATACAACACTTTCTTTAACAGGAAGGTTTAGTGTGCATGGGCCCCATAGATGAATTTGAAGTGTCCAAAGCCTACATGGAAAGTGCTGCTGCCTTGGCAATTTATCACAATGTCACAGAAGAGTTTAAAGTAAGTTTTGAATTGACAGAACCTCGTCTCCCATTACTAGATGGCTTTCTTCAGTTGCTCCTTTGAGGTATTTGATCTGTATAATTTAAGGTACCCATGTACTGTGGTACTAACCTTGTACAAGTTGTAGTCACTGTTCTACAGATAAAAAATTTTTTTTATAATGGGTGTAACAAATGACAGTCTTGAACAATGCTTCTAGTAAGTTGAAAGTTTCTAAGGTAGTTAGATTGAAATGTTAGCACTCTTCATAACCCCATGAATATTCTAGTTTGAATAGAAGCCACTATTTCCTTCAGCATAGTGAGTTTTGTCCTACTGGGAGTCTATGGATCCTCACCAGTAGTTTCTGGCTTCATCAAAGAACACCCCCCTTCCCCTCCCCTCAAATTCCTCCATCCTTAGGCTTAATCTATGGGAACTCCCCCCCATCCCCCTCCTTTCTTGGCTTAAGACTTCAAATTTATGGTCATAGTATAAATATTTTGTATACTTGCCTTGTCATAATTAAGGTAACGAGTGAATTGGTCACAATAGGGAAGTTGATATTGATGTCAATTTGATTGATTGCTCATAATTTTAAAGTGGTAAATAACCAAAAGCTTCACTGCATTACAATTATAATTGAATGGTAATCACTTTACCCCAAGAAGCTAGAATTAGAACATTTGAAGTTTTAATTTCTCGTAGCTTTAACTTTTGGGTCGCATTGCTTTGGTGGGAGACGGAAGCCATGTTGAAAAAAAAAAGCTTTAACTTTACTGAACTTTTATAGTACCAAAAATTGCTATTATGAAATTGATGAACTTAAAATGCTCATGCTACATATTTGAGTAAAAAGTTCCAGATATCTGGACGGTACATAACCTTGCCTCATTTTCAGGCTAAATTTGAACACGTGTGTGAACCTATTGCGTTGTTGTACAAGGCACTCGAAAACCTTGCCTATGAAGGAGATTACTTCACACACGAGACAGATCAGAACTTCAACAAAGAACGTAGCTCTTCCATATCCTTTAATGTAAGTATTATAACAATCGAGGGGAAGAGTACCTTGATGCTGGTGGAAGATGGTTCCTCAAAGGGAGTGGATGTCCTTGAATAAAATTTTGCCTAGTGTCTAAAATGCTGTAAAATTGCTTGTGAATATTGAAAATGTTGAAGCTTTTTTAACATGACTTCTAATTGCAGGTTAGGGATAAAACTTACTTGATATTAAGTTATGAAGGAGAGTGCATATCAGACATGTTCCTGTGGGATAAGACTAGACTTACCTTTGTACATCACCAGACCATAAACACTGGTCATGCCAAACACTGGCTTTTGCTGGAGATGGATAAGGTGGGTTATTAAATGCTTAGCATTCCTGAATGCTTTGAGGGGCTCTTAAATTTGATGTAAAATGAAAAATTCTATGTATATAACATCTTTAATAGGAATTTTAATTCTTTCAATAACATGGAAATATTTTTTCTTCAAATATTAAAATTCAAGGATATATAGAAATCCTTACCTAATAAAGTTCCTTCATACAGGTGTACATTGCTATGGCAGCTTCCTCTATGAATAACACTTGCCACCATCAAAGCTCGTCAGTCTGGCTTCTCTCGGCATCCAGTCTTGAAGTAAGTTTTTACTCTAATGGGAAATTATGTATAATTAAGATTGTCCTTGCAAATTTTAAATAGATGAAGGCCCCTCTGACTTTGACTTTAAACTTTTTTTTTTTTTTTTTTTAAATTTCTAATGAATAAATATTAAGAGCTCGGAAAGTAATTTGAATTCTTTTAAAGGATGATTCTGATTCTTTTGGAAGGTTTTCTGCGAAAATTGCTGTACCAACATCATATTACCCTCTGGCAGTAATATACATTACTTGATGTGATTAATTACACTGTAATTTATGGTATCAGTGTGAAGTTAAAGTACTAAAATACTTAACAGCTGTTCCAAATGCTGGTTGCTGGTGAGCACTTGTCTAGAGGAATGGGTCCCGATGGCCACCTGCTGCATGTGCACTCCCAGCACAACACAATCACCTATACATTTTTGAAGGATGAAAATTCCTGGAAAGAAGTAGAGGAATCTCCTCTAGCAGGTTAGTGTTATCACTTTGGCAAGTCAGAGTTTAGTGTTGTACTAGGAAAGTACTAGTGAAATCTCTAGAGGAAAGGGGTAGATTAGTCAATTTACACCTGAATAAGCACTTGCTACCTGGGTATGAACAGTTTGTCAATTGAATGATCTTTTTTTTTCAGTCTGTGGCAAATGAACGATGTGATAAAACAAACGAGGCATTTTAAATGTGAAATATAAAACTTCTACTGACAGTTATGGGAACCTTATTGGTACCATTTTTAGGATACTTTCTTGGTAACTTAACCATGGTTGACAGGTTAAATTGATTAGGTGTTGTATAGCTACTGTATTTTAACAAAGATCTTCATTGAATAACTTGATATTCTAACACCTCTTGGTGGGAAGTGTAACTTTTGGTGCCAAGCCAAAACTAGTTTAAAAGATTTACTCTTAAAATATTTTACTGCATTATGCCTTTCTCTAAATTTTTTGACCTTTTTAACCCTTTAAGACCAAGGTGAAGAAGTGATGGGTGGTGATGGAAGCTCTGTGTACTGGGTTCATCATGGTAACAAAGGTCAACTGTATGTGAATGGAGTCCCTCAAGGTGGAAGCTTAGAGCTTCCCAGAACTACCATTGACCATGCTAGTGTCTACATCAGGCACACCAGAGTAATACTCTTCCTTCTGGTCACAACACGAACCTACAAAGAACCCCTGCATACACTACGGGTTTGTAGAAAGTTAATGGTTTATTATTCCCGAGTGTGCTTTATGGTAGCTACCCATTCAAAGCAAGTTTTACCTTATGGTTTTTTGGAGACTTTTTTTTTTTTTTTTTTTTTTTTTTTTTTTTTTTTTTTTTTTAAAGATTTTCCTCTTGATTTTTAGTAAATGTGTATAGGTGTTAATGTTGCCATTTTATAACTAGTGTAAAGCACCCCTCTGGCAAGACAGTGGAGTGAATGATTAAAGTTTTCTTTTTTGGGCCACCCTGCCTTGGTGGGAATTGGCCAATGTAAAAAAAAAAAAAAAAAAAAAAAAAAAAAAAAAAAAAACTTATTACTAACCTCTGAAAGGAATTAAGTTGGCAAAAGTGAGTCTAGTAATACATATACTAGAACATGGGTGTAGTCTGGGCACCTGCCAGACTAGTTACTGCTTGAGTTATCATTAAAGTTTTCTTCAGGTATATTACATTGAGAATGGACACCTGACTTGTGTAGCTACTGAAGATTTGTCCACATCTGGTCGGATGTCTGTGTTCTTTGCTGGCAATGATGCTTCTGGAGCCCTATTCATAGTTATTTCCCAACATGAATCTTGCCCACGTGTCTTCACATTTAAAGGTAAGGTGAAAAATGGGAGGTAAAGTATCTTAATGGTGAAACATCTATGGAGTTGGACTTCTTCCAAATGTTAAATAATCACCATAACTTTTGAAACTTGAAAAATTAACCATTAGAATTAAATGGTCATCTCTTTAACCCTTACTGTCCAAACGCAGATCAGTTTGCTCACATAGCACACTGAACGTAGATCTACATTTTTTGCGTTTTCTCTGGGAGAAAATTAAGGGCAGAGCAATACGTACGCAAACAGATCTACATTTGGACAGAAGGTTAATGATTCATTCTTGAGCTAGGGGAGCACCCTCCTTAAGTGGAAACTTGCTGGGCTCCTTAAAATTTTTTACTTTGTTAAATTTAATTTGCCGTTTTTCTTCCCACTTAAAAAAGGGCTAAACATTGTCATAATTTATTTAGGTTTTTCCAAAATCCATTGTGATGGTTTAAATGTAAAAATCAGATGAAAAAACTTATTGGAATTGTGCATTTCTTTAATACTGTAAAAAATCTGGATTTGATTAACACATTGACATTCCCAATCTGCAGGTGAGGTATGAAAGCATGGCCTGGCCTGGCCCCCCTGGGCACCTGGATACAGCATTTCCAAGTCCCAGTGAGACTCATCCTTCAATAAAGGACCACTCCCTCCCCGGGGCCGCAGTCACCCAACACCTCAATATTCCCCCTTGGTTATGAAAGGTGTGCTGTACCAAAAGAGGGACCTAACTTGTCAATTTTAATGCCCCAAGTTTCCAAATGTGACTTGTAATGCGAGCAAATGAGTGGGCTAAAATTTTAATATTTAATGAAAGAATCTTGCCAAAATTTTAAGGAATGAGGAACCTTTAATTTCAAAGGAGTGAATGTTTTTTAAATTTAAAGGGGTCTGTATTTAAGAATTTTTCTCCTTTTTCATTAGGAAACTAATTTAAGATTGTGGGGGAACATAAACTGCAATAAAAAGCACCAATGTGGCGACTGAATGTTAAAAAATAACAGTATTTTTTAAAAAAAATGCCAATTCAGGTTTCCAGTTTTTTGCTCCTGTAAAAACATGCGGAAAGGCCTTTTTTTTTTTCATACATTGGGACACTTTTCTAAAGTTTCGGGTCCTTTTAAATGAGGCCTTGTGAACTATGATTTGATGTGGTGTAAATAAACCCTTTTTAAAATTTAAAAATTTAATTTGTCCTTGGGTATTGTGAATTTAAAAAATGTTGCACTAATATTTTAGCCCTTTTTTGGGAGGGTTCAAGTAACCTTGATGCTGGCCAGTGAGGCAGATAAAACTGGAATTATCTAAATTTCTTGGGTTGAAGGTTTTTAAATTTTCTCCTGTGACTGAAACTACATTACCAACTGATTTTGAAGTTAAGTCCTAGCAATAAATTAATTTTACCGTATTGTTAGATGGGTTTTATCCCGGGAATATCTGCTGGGGTGTTTTTAAAATGGCATTGAACCCCAACTAGTATACCTGGAAGGGTTTGTCCAAGTTTGTAATACAGATTGGGATTTTTAAAAAGGGGGAAAGTTGTTGCTTTTTTGGGGCCCTAATGGTACCATAACCTTTAAAAAACGTCATTGATGCAAATAGTGGTTGATCATGAAACTGCTCTCCCCCTTGATTAAAACCCGACAGCCTCCCATTACCCTAGCCCCAAATTTCTGAAGCCTTTACAGGTGTAGGCTCCACCCATGGAGTAATTTATTTCACCTCCCAAAAGGGCCTTCATGCTGGTTTGGGTCTTGATTAAAGGAAAGGGTTCACAGTTTGGATCAAACTGCAGCCTGCATTCGTCAAAAAGGTAGGGGCACACTGTGGGTTTTACACTAATCGAGGTTAAATAGAAAATTTTTTTTTTTATATATTTTTAAACTGGCCCATTCCCCCAAGGCGGGTCCCCCAAAAAGATGAACTTTCACCATCATTCACTCCATCACTGCTTGCCAGAAGGGGGGCTTTAAATCAGTTTTTTTTAAATGCAAAATTAACACCCCCCCTTTAGGTGCAGGGACTGTACTTCCCCATCTCCAGGACATCCCTCCCACACAACCCCCCTTTACCCCTTCCCTCAAAAATTTTCCTAACGGGCCCCTACCCCCGTCTTCCTTCCCAAAAGATGATACTTCGAAGTCCTTTTCGTTCAATTTCTTTACATTCCAAACCACCTCAAAAAACCCTTTTCCCCAGCCCTCTGGGCAACAGTTTTGGGGGAAACCCGCACCTCCTCCTAACTTCCAAAAACTACAATTCTCGATTTTTTACACCCACATTTCCCTCAACATGACATTCCCCCAAATGCCTCCAGCCCCTTTTCGCGCAACTTTAATCACCCAGCTTCACACCAATAAAAGGGGTTTGGGAAAGCTATACTTTCATACATTCCCCTCTTTGCCTCCAAGGACAAAATTTTTTTGTCTTTTCCCCCGACTCCTAAGTGCACCGCTCGCCCCTTTTCCCCTGTCTTCTATGATTTACCTCATCTTTTTAACCCATCCGCTGACACTCATCCCAAACTGATACATACACCTCCTCCTACTCTCTCCCTCCAATCTGATATCCAATCTTTCATCACCTAATCTTTTTGTTATCCTCATAACCTTACTCTTTCCTGTATTCACTTTTAATTTTCTTTTGCATACCCTACCAAATTCATCAACCAATCTCTGCAACTTCTCTTCAGAATCTCCCAAGAGCACAGTCATCAGCAAAGAGCAACTGTGACAACTCCCACTTCGTGTGATTCTTTTAACTCCACTCCTCTTACAACCCCATCTATAAATATATTAAACAACCACGGTGACATCACACATCCTTGTTTAAGGCGTACTTTTACTGGAAAATAATCTCCCTCTTTCCTACGTACTAGCTTGAGCCTCGCTATCCTGTAAAATATACTCGAAGGGTTTATACATTGACATGGCTCAATTGGTGATGGCTTGATGATAGCCCAGGGTCAGGGCCTACTGACAATGGTCCTACTATGTCTCCAAGATGCAACCACAACCAGTAGCCTAACAACCATGTACCTACTTGATGCAAGGTCAACTTCAGCAAGTGTTAAAAAATAAAATTTAACATTACCGTTTGGGATATTAGATGTGGTTTTTATTCGTCTAAAATTTGCGTAGCATGAAGTAAGTACCTGGGTGTTAGGGACTGGTTATGGTTGCATCCTGGGGGCTAGGAGAGTAAGAATGTTAGACTTTATTGGAGATAACTTGTTTTACACTTCTTTCTGATTATAATAATTCATTGGAGACGAGACATAAAAATATTTATCTTGTTAGTCTGTAATATTAAATCATGTTAATCATGAATTAAAATTGAGACCTAAACCTTTAGGGGTCGTAAGACTCCCAGGGGAATAAAGGCCATCAGGTTTGATCAAAGGTAAGGAAGGTAGAGTACAATTTCTTACACCTCCCCCCCCCCCTTACTTAAATTTTGGGTTTATAGGGTTACTATACCTTCAGAAGTTTAGGTATAGGTACACAATTGCACAAATCATGCATAGTAACTTATAAATTAAGATAGCCCAAATCAGTGACTTTTCACTGGGGCAAAGCAGTGGTAATTAGGAAACAAGGTTCCCAGGGAAAGAGTGCAAGACATTGCCAGTGAGGTAATGTTGACCAAACGCTTAAATCTTTAAAATTAGTGGTGCAGGAAAAATTGTGGTGCCCCAACTAAATTTCCCAGAGAAATCCTAACTCCCTCGGCTCATACACTGAGGTCCACGGTTCAATCCCCAGTGTGGGTGGAAACATTAGGAAGAGTTTCCTTAAGATACCTGCTGTCCATACTCACCTAGCAGTAAAATAGGTACCTCAGTGTTAGTTGACTTGTGGGTCACATCCTGGAGACAAAATTGCCTAAATTTGCCCAAAATGGTCTGTATAACAAGGGGCTTTGTGTAGTGTCATAGATATTGGGTAGACCTGTATACCTTGTAAATGTAGTAATAATAAAATAAGAATTAGGCAAATGCGCCCCTCATGGAAGGTTCCTTGATGTTGGTGAGGGGCTCTTGATTTAGGGAATTGAATCTCTGCTCCAGTTCCCCGAATTAAGCCTGAATGCCTTCCACATCCCCCCCCCCCCAGGCGCTGTATAATCCTAGGGGTTTAGGGCTTCCCCCTTGATTATAATAATAGGCAGATGCGCAGGGTAGATTATTATAATCGAGGGGAAGCGCTAAACCCGTATGATCAGTGCCTGGGGGGGGATGTGGAAAGTATTTGAGGAACTGGAGAACGGATCCAATTCCCTAAATCAAGAGCCCCTCGCCAGCATCAAGGAATCTTCCTTGAGGGCAAGATAATGCTCAAAATATTGTCATGCTGTTGTAGCAAACAATGGCTTATTGTTAATGGTGAATTATTATAATCAAGGGGGAAGCGCTAAACCCGGAGGATTATACAGCGCCTGGGGGGGGGGGGGGATGTGGAAGGCATTCAGGCTTAATTCGGGGAACTGGAGCACAGATCCAATTCCCTAAATCAAGAGCCCCTCGCCAACATCAAGGAACCTTCCTCGAGGGGTCTTAATGGTGAATAGTGGGAACTTTGGTCATGGTTTCCTCGCCGAGGAGTCGGATTACCTCCCCCTCCCCAGTCACTATAATCTCTATGGGTTTAGTGCTTCTTATTGTCATTGTAGTGGAATGCGATGAATTTAGAGAAACTTAAATATTTGTGGATTATTACCAACCATTCTGGAAAAATACCCAGACGGTTGTAAAAAGCCTATTACCACAAAATTACGTTCAACCGTACCTTGCTAAAATAAAGGTAATATAAAGTCCAGACCCATATAAGATGCACTGATATTTTTTGACTGAATTAAATAAATGGTTAAAATTGTTATCAGATAAAAATTTCTTATCTCGACTATCTTAGCTATGACAACATCGAAACAGTCCCTAGACCTATTATGTGCCTTCAATATTAAGAGTACCATCCACACCATGGGTGTGGTGTATAATGAAGGTATTAAGTT